GGTTCTGACTCGATGGCACCTGACAACAACAACAACAGGTACAGAGTTGCTATGGGTTGGAATCGACTCAATGGCACTTAAACAACAACAACAGGCAAAATATTGAATGATGCACAAAGCATCAAAAGAAGATGGAAAGAATTCATGAGTCACTGTACCAAGAAGAGTTGGTCGATGTTCAACTATTTCAAAAGGTAGCATATGATCAAGAACCGATGGTACTGAAGGAAGAAGTCCACGCTGCACTGAAGGCACTGGTGAAAAACAAGCCTCCAGGGATCGACAGAATGCATAGTGAAATGTTTCAAAAACTGATGCAGCGCTGGCGGCGCTCATTCGTCTATGTCAACAAATTTGGAAGACAGCTACCTGACCAACCAATTCGAAGAGATCCATATTTCTGACCATTCAAAAGAAAGGTGACCTAGTAGGATGGGGAAATCATCAAGCAATAGCAGTATCACATACAAGTAAAATTTTGCTGAAGATAGTGATTGCACCAGTACATCAACAGGGAGTTGCTGGAAATTCAAGCCAGATTCACGAAAGGATGTGGAATGAAGGACATCATTGCTGACATCAGCTGTATCTTGTCTAAAAGCAGAGAACACCAGAAAAAAATGTTTATTTGTGCTTTCTTGACTGTGCAAAGGCATTCAACTGTGTGGATCATAGCAAACGATGAATAACTTTGGGAAAAATGGGTATTCCGGAACACTTAATTATGCTCATGAGCAACCTGTGCAAAGAAAAAGGGGATACTAAACAGTTTAAAATCAGGACAAGTGTGAGACAGAGTATATCTTTACACCATATTTATTCAATTTGCATGCTGAGCAAATAATCTGAAAAGCTGGATTTTATGAAGAAGAGCATGGCATAAGAATTGGAGGAAGACACGTGATATGCACATGACACAACCTTGCTTATTAGAAGCCAAGAGAATTTGAAATAATTATGACGATCAAAGCCCTTAGTATGGATTGCATTCAGTGTAAAGAAAATAAAAATCCTCAGAACTAGGCCAAGAAATAACATCATGGTAAGTGGAGAAAAGCCCCAAGACATGGTCTTTTCAATTGCATCATATGCATGTGAAAGGTGGACAATGTAAGCAAGACTATATAAGAATCAATGCATTTGGATTATGGTGTTGAAGAATATTGAAAATACCATGGACTTCCAGAAAAACAAACAAATTTGTCTTGGAAGAAGTACAGCCTGAATGCTTCTAAGAAGCAAGGATAGAGAAACTTCGTGAATTTTTTTAGACATGTTTTCAGGAGGGACCAGTCCCTCGAGAAGAACACTATATTTGTTAAAGTGGAAGGTCAAAGAAAAAGAGACAGAACCCCAACAACAACAACATGGAATGATACAGCAGCAGCAGCAATGGGCTCAGACATAACAATTGTGAGTATCGCAGAGGACTGGGCAGTGTTTCGTTCTGTTGTACACAGAGTTCTTATGAATGTGAACCAACTCAAAGTCATCTAACAACAACATTCTACATGCAGATTTATACAAGGTGACTCATTGCAGCATTATGTATAAAAGTAAATGTTTAGAAGTAATCCAGTAGGGTCTGAAGCTAGGTAAATTTGTATATCCATACAATGGGAGCACGATGCTCCATATGGACTGTGGACTGTGAACCACAAGGTCATCGGTTTGAACTCATCAGCTGCTCTGCAGGAGAAAGATGACGCTTTCCACTCCCTAGGAAAACTTAGGCTTCGGGAACCCTTTTACTGGGTTGCCATTAGTCAGAAATTAACTCAAGCACAGTTAACCAAAATAACAACAATCCATATAATGGAAGCGTACACTGTTGTAAAATAGAAAATCTAAATGTAACAATATGGGGAGACCTTTAGAATAAAATGACTAAATAAGATATATAGATATATGCTTATATTAGCAAAAAAGACACTAGAGAAGGCTAAACTAGAAACTGATTTCAATGATACGCCCAGTAAGAGGAAAGCGAGACTAGTGTATATGAAGGCTGCATGGTAGCGAGACTTTTCAGGTCTTTGTCTTACATTGTTTTGATTTTTGAACCATGTAAATATAACAAGGAGCTCTGGTAGCGTAGTGGTTACGAATCGGGCTGCGAACCTTAAGGTCAGCGGTTCGAAACTACCAGCCGCTCCGCGGGAGAAAGATGAGGCTTTCTACTCCCGTAAAGATTTACACCCTCGGAAACCCTGTACAGGGTCGCTATGGGTCGGACCCGACTCGATGGCACTTAACAACAACAACAACAAATATATTAAACACCTTTTTTAAAGTGCATTTAGTAAGGTAAGTCCTTAAAGGAAGATGTTTCATGAAATGTGAGATACAGTTTTTTGTTTGTTTGTTTTTAACATATACATATAGTTATTTCCCATAAAAAGAGATCATGGAAGTCAATGGGAAAAATACACTTTAAAAAAAAAAATTCATTTCATATATAACTTGCAGTACCATACTCAAAATGCAGTCTTATTACTAAAGTAAGAGATCTTTCTACATTGTTATAAAAGTTGTTCTACTTTGTTATATAATTAATTCAAAAGGAATTTTTTGAAATATATTTACATTTTTGAATCTTTATATTTTTACTTGTGGAAAACAGCAAAGACCATGACTTACCTGATAAATATTTCTTTTCATATGGGACTAAAATACAAAAGAATATAAAATTAAAATGTGGTACATTTTTTAAAAGGTGGACTTTAAAGGCTTTCAAAACATTTAAATACTTAAAGTTTAATATTACCCATATTTCTATTGCTTGGTCAACTGTCTGCATTATCTGTTTAAAACTTAGTTTCTAAACAAGTAAGTAGAAACCTCACAATGCATTAGCATGGTTGTTGAAGGAAGAATAAAGGAACTGAACAAAAAGAAAGATGAGATGAAGAAAGTAAGAGGACTGGTTGAATAGCAATATTAAATTATAAAACGGTGACCTTATCCTCAATATAGATTTGCTCACTATTTCTGATGTTTTTAATGGATAGTTAATTAAAAATTAGGTGCCCTGAAGTATAGTGCATGAGAAGAACCAATTTTTTAAAAAAATCAAATATATATTGGAAGTTGAAAAAAACTACAACAAATAAATGTTCCTGCCACCACTATAAAACTGATTGTACTCAAGTACCCTGTTAGGGGGAAATTGTGTATAATTTCGCTTTACTGTAAACTAAAAAATACAAGTGACTCTGGTTGTTTCAGAAAGGAAATAATTAGAGTCAGTTGTGTTGTTTCGGTTTACCATGGAAACAGAAGAGGGAGACTAGAATACTAAACATGCAAAATGGGGAAATGGTTGTTCGTGTCATACTCCAAGCATCCTAGAATGTTATTTTGAAATTTTAGCTTTCATTAATGAGAAAACATTTACTTTCTAAAAATTTAAAATACAAACTGTGCAGTGTTCCACAATAGTATCAAAATATTGTTGTGGGCCAGGACAATTTTATTCTTTTAAAAAGTATTTTTGAAGAAAATAAAAAAAGTATTTTGGCTGGTCAGATGGAAATTTAGATTTTAATCCAGAATAAATTGTAAATAACAGTGCAATTTTCTCTTTACTGTCTTTTAAAAAAGATGTTACCTCTTATATAGAATCTAGTTTTCTTAAAAGGTCACCTAATCATTCGAATTCTAGAATCACACATGATTTTTGTAGTTCATCACTTCCACTGTTCAGTCTAGTCACATGCAAGGGACTATGACAATTCCCTTGAACAAAAGAAAATTTTGACCTCTTATAAGCAGACAGAATAAGATTAGGTCTAACTCAATTGATCGGACCCTAAATCTGAAATGTAAGAGAAGTGTATATTCAATTTCAAAGATACTTACAAACAAAAACTATCATATATGATGAAAATCTACTTCTATTTAATAGGCAAACTAATCTCAGCCTTTCTTTCTCCACCCCTCTTCGAATGGATAAAGACCTTCATACTTACTAGCTGCTTTACACAGTGTTCCTTCTACAGAAGAAACTTCACAATTTCCTTTTTTCCATTCACCCGTCTTGGTATGCAGAAAAGCACAGGTGTCAACTATATCTTCACCATCATCTTGGTCTGTCCACTTATCAAATGTCATATTTGATTGATCGAACCACTTGAAACATGCATCTGTCAGATAAGGAATATTTTCAACATTATAACAGTATAAAAACCGGTTGCCATGAATTGATTTGGACTCATGATGACCCTTTGTGTCTCAAAGTAGAACTCTACTCCATAGAGTTTCCATGGCTGTTTTTTTCAGCAGTAAATGGCCAGGACTTTCTTCAAAGGTGCTTTTGGGTGAGCTCAAACCTCCAACCTTACAGCAACCCATGCATTAACTGTTTGCAGCGCCCCCAGGGACTCCTATGAAAGGTGAGCTCAAACCTCCAACCTTACAGCAACCTGTGCATTAACTGTTTGCACCCACCTCCCCCAGGGACTCCTACGAAAATAGGAAATGGTGTTCAAAAAAAGAAATCTAGGCTTCAAGGAAAGAAGTTACTAAAGTCTTGTCCAAATTTTGCTTGTAGGCTTTAAATTGAAGCAATACATTCCATGTACAGGTAAATCATCAAAAGATATTTTAAAAATATGTTTTCATGAGAAACAAAAAAAGAGAGTTAAAATATTAATAATAGTAACCTTATTTGTTTCATTTGAAAATGTTTGTGTATGTGTTTTCAATTTTCTACAGTGATGATAAAATACATCTACATAA